TCTTTTCTGCAGAACCTCTACGTGTGAGAGAAAGGATGAAACTATAGAACCCTGCATATTAGCCCATTGGATTGTTTCAGTAAAACATGGGTTTAAACCCAGTCCAAACCCTGCCTTGCCCTCAAGGAATGGCTAGGGAGTCTCATTTTTATCCAATTCCTAGTCACCACAGAGTCTGGTACATCTTACAGTTAGAAGTATTAAATCTGTTGTTACTGTAAATACCAAATTCACTTTTCTTGTTTTCTTAGTTTTTACATAGCTGGAACATAATTTTATTTCTCAGACCTCACTTTTGTGCTTGAATGAGAGTGAGCCAAGTTAGTGCTTGTGATTCTGGGAAGCCATATTTGCAGCATATCGCAGACAAGGTATTGTCAAAAATTGCTAGATTGACTGTGAGCTGGTTTTTGGCATTTACAGTAGTTTTGCTCAAATTGCCATGAAGAAAAGCTCTTTAAACATAAGTCTAATTCACTTAAAAGTAAGATGGAAAGTAAATCCCCCACATGTGTGAGACTTTATCCATTGCTGGTAAGTATGCAGTTAGTTGCAATGGTTTGCTGACTAATGTGTCACTTATTGAAGTTCTAGAATGATATGCCCTGCCGATTCATCTCTCTTCCACCTCCCACGTGTTATTCACAGCTGAATATGTAAATTATGTTTTCTTCCTCAGTTCCTGATACCTTTTATTGAACATTTTTCAATTCCAAAACTGATACAGTTTTCCCTTCACTTGCAACGTGCATCAAGAGTTTCTGCAAATGTTATGAAATCTAAGGTAAAAAGAATTTTCAAGAAATAGAAATCAAATTGGGCAGAAGTTCTTTGTGGAATAATCTGTATTTGACAATAACAAAGTATACACCTCTTGAAGAAAATTAAAAAAAAAAAAAAAACAACAGCAAAGAGAAGCAATTGGCTTGTACTAATTATTAATTTCTTGGAAAAAAAATATACAACGACATCATAAACTGTCAGTCCAGCGTACAGGGCAGCCTGATTTTTCTGTAAAGTCCATGACTATGTCTCATTTCATTAGTATCAGTCCAAATAGCCAGTCTTTCCCTAATGACTTGCTGGGGCACAACCAGTTGTTTTCACCCAATAAAGACCAGAAGGCTGATAAGTGCCAACATCAAAGTTGTGCTGCAGGAGTGAGAGGCCAGAATTGAGATTGAAAGTTTGGGCAGTTTTCACAAGAATTTGCACACGGTCAGCACAATATTAACTTCTAACATCAGTGGTGAGCAGAAGTCCAAAAGCAGAATGCTCTGAGATGGATGTTGACCAGGTTGTAGCTCCCTGATGAAAAATGGAGTAGGGAAGAGATGATCCCCAGTACCACCATACAGAGAGGCACAAGCATGTCCCATGACAAGAACAGGAATGAACAGCCAACCTCTAAGCCTGCATCTGCCTGGGTAGGGAGGATGTCCACACTTCAAAGCTGATTTGGGGAAGTTCAGCTCCTACAGTATTGTTGTAGCAACTTAGCATTTTCCCCCCTTTCTAATTTCATTTTAAGAGTGGGAGATTCAATTGGACAGAGGAAACTCAGGGATGGGAACAAATGATATGGAATTCTGAAATCTAGTGAGGCTTTCTTGGAATCTACTTAAACCAGAGACTGGACTGAAGACTGAAATGTGGACCTTTTTTTTATGGCGCCAAGTTAGAACGCCTGAAGAACATCTAGCATGGCAAAATGCTCCAGCTGTGCTTGAAAAGGGTAGCCAGTGCAGGCACATTCTTGCAAGGACAGCAAAGTTGACAGCATGGCTGACAGCAAGGGAGTATACAAGCCTCCCTGCAGGATGAAGGTGCTGAGGGTTGATGTCTCTACAAACACCAGGGCATCTTCCAGAGCAAGAGACCACTGAAGTGTGCAGATGTGGAGTGGGGGACCCAAACACAGCAGCCTGGTGAGTTAGAGAAAAGACATCTGACAAGGAGACAGGCTCACTAAAATGGCTGCTGTTGAAGAGGTATACTGCTCAAGGAGGAAACTAAAAGTCAGATTCTTAGAGCCTGAAATATATGAATTCAGAATAAAGTTGATGAGGAAAGATATGCTTATGAACAAGAGCTTGGTGGTGTGAGGAAAGATACAGTAAAAATAAAAAAGACTGTAAAAACGCTTTGAATCATGGAAATGCACCCTTTACTAGGCAGAACATAGATATGAAGACTGCTTATTTCAGAGTACAAATAAAGATAGTGCTGATGCAAAACAGTATTAACTTTGTTTTGCTTTGGATCACAATAACAAGAATACTAAGTAATGAATGATAGCTTGAAATCAACTTCTAATTAGCTTGATGTTTGTTAGACTCAAGGATCAGTTCCACCCTAGGATATTCTGTGATTCTGTGAGGTCCATTTCACCAACATTTCTGAGTCTACATTTCTGCCTTTCATAACATGGATAATAAAACTGATAAGTGGATCAACAGATTGGAACCAATCAAAGGAAATCTTTTGGGTTTACACTGCTCATCAGTAACTTTTTCAAGACATTTCCGCCAAATACACTTGGGACAAAGGTTTATGGTTAGCGAGCATCCATAGCTGAAGATCCTGCTTTAAAGCTGAAAGAGTCTGTACTTAGAATGGTGTCCGTAGCTTGGAAAAACAAACAAACAAACAAAAATAACCCAACACTTTTCCACTAACCAAGATACTGTGAAATTATTCCTATTGAGATCTGCTTCACTTTTCTCTCAAGCAGACAGTACTGGAAGTTTTGGGGGGGTAAAGTCTTACAGCTGTGGCATAGTAGTGGACACTGCAACACAGAAAAACTTCTACATTCTCAGGAAAGTTGTATTTCACCCAAATAATGGGTACATGATCATAGAATGGCATGGAGGTGCCACACATTTTGAAGAAAAGAGTTTTTGTATGATTAGTTAGCTGTCTCCTGCCCAAGGAAAAGAAGCTCTGTCAACATCTGACAAATATTTTTCAAACTTATTTGGAAAAATCACCAATAAGATCTAGTAAACTCCTAGCACAATAACTAGTGTTTCCCTATCTTCATGAGATAGCATATTTACAAAATAAAAATCAAATACAGCTTCCAGCTACTTCCTTGGTAATATTTTCATGCTTTGTTGTAACACAAAGCACAGTCAATGAAAATTAAATGGGTAATTTTTAGTCTGAACCATGCTGTTGATAAGAACAAAAAAGTATAGGTGAAGTTTTTCATGAAACTGCTTAACATGAGGACTTCTGAACTTCTCTCTTGATTTATTAAAGCTCTGTTCCACTTGAATCGCTGATATATGGAATTTCAAGAAGAATGATGTCTCTGGGAGGATGCAAAGGTGAGGTGAATTTTTGATGGGAAGCTAATATCAGCAATGAAATAGGGCAGCTTCTGCTGTTTCATAACATAAACCTTCCTGAGAGGCTGAGTAGGCTTTGCATCTCCTTAATGAAGATACATTTTTTCAATTTAAAATCCCATGCAAGTGAAATACTGCTTTCACTGATGATCACAGAAGGAAATCAATTCAGTATTACATGTTCTGAAATAGATCCCATAAATTGTCTCCACTCCTTGATTGCAATAAAAGCCTGACAACCCACACAGCTGAGGCTCTGTCTCTCTATTTGGACAGCAGATGGTATTCTGACTACCAGCTTATAAACAGAGTAGGTGAGCTGGAAGCAAGGATAAGCCTGAGAGAGATTCTACTGACATCAGATTAATACAGACATTTCTTTCTTCATAGCATCTGATTTTCAGAAGGTCTTGAGAATTTAGTGTTCAAATCTCTGAGATCCATGATATACTGTACTATACAAGGTCATTCATGTCACAGAAAACTTTATGGGCAACAGTCCTCACTGTCAGAGGGCATTCAATATGTGCAGACACGGGGTACTTCACAGGCTGAAAACTAAATTTGTTTTTGGCAGTAACGCTGCAGGCCTAGTCTCACAAACTGCTGGGAGCACAATTTATCTTACTTGCGCTGAATGATTCATAGGAAAGTACAGGAAAGGTGAGTCCTCTGTCTCAGAGAGGAAAACTGACGTGGTGAAATTGAGGTGTTAGCACTGGACCAGAGGCTGATTCTGCTGGAGTGATGACAGCAGCACAGTGGCTGCTGGAAAAGCGTTCACTGCACTATACCTTGCAAGGCTCATTTCCCCTGACTTTGAACATAGGGGCAGTGAAAACTGGTACCAGCATGCATAGCTCATAAAGAAATCACTCTTAGCTGGAAAATGAACCAGTCTCTTGGGCCTGCAAAGCTGGGTTATGTGTATGCAGACCACCCTTTAACCTCTATGTCTTACTATATCAGTGATACACCATTGCCCATTTTGTGGTTGAAGTTTATCAACTTTCAGGTCTGCAGTAACATTTCTGCCCTCAAAACAGCCTCCATAGGAAAAATAAACATATATTGCATAGCCACGCAGGCACCTGTCACTGGATACCAAGTTTCTCAGCTCGGAGAGGTCTACAGCTTTAACTCTGCTGCATCCAACCTACAAAACCTGACAAGATTTAAAGTCCTATCACAGCGGCCAGAATCTCCTTTAAAACTCCCTTCTCCCAGGGCGGTGATGAAAGACACGAGAGTAGGTGATGAGGAAGCAGATGCCCTGCCAACTTATTTTCCTAGTGGGTAATAACCAACAAGAAGATTTGAATGATGCACAACCATCCTTAGGGACCCTGACCTTCTCTTGCTCTACAGTCCAAGGACATATCTTGAGAAACATCAAAGCATTCAAACTCATTCCTCTGGTTGTCATTAAACTTTGCAAAGGATAGACATCGAAAGCTGGCCTACTATATGCCTATGAAAACATTTGCTGTTCTCTCCTCAAATTAAGCTAACAAAAATTATTCATATAGCAAACAGAGCCAGATCTCAGATAAGATATATATATATATATATACACACACACACGTTGGGGTTTTTTTAGAAGATATAAGGGTTTTTTTTAAGACTTACAAATAATTTTGTGGGCTTACTCCAAGCCACCAGACCTGATTTGGTAACATCACTCTCATCTTGGAGTCTTGGAGGAGAATATGGATTAGTGTTGAGGGCAGATGGGCTCAGGTGATGGGACATCTAGACAGCCAGAGCCTGCTAAAAGTCACTAGACTCTACTAGAGCATGGGAAAGAGTTGTCAGGAAGCAAAGTCAAAGAGGACAAAAGATGTGCAGTACATAAATATGCCTAACGTTAATTACGTTTTCATTCCCACACTACTGGAAGAATAACAGCCTTAATTTTGACAGTGAGCTTTTTAGAATTAAGTGGAAGAAGCTGCACAGATATTAAAGGAAAAAAAAAATCACCTATAATCATTCAACAACACTAATTGCAGGGGAAATCCTGTGTGTGTGTCTGTGGATGGATGACTGCACGTCTATCTACAAACATATTGATTGAGTTGTTCATATATTATGACTTCTTAGTTTAGTAAAAATAGATGTGGCAATAAACTATGGGGGAGCTGTAGCCACACCCACCATTCAGTGTCTGTGAAAAGGTGTTTTCCATTGGCTTCAATGTACACAATCTGCAGCAATGTTTGGTACCCAGAGTAGACAGTAAATGATGTCTTTGGTTTTTTTTCTTTGATATAATAATTTTGGAGTACGCAACCATTTGCTCCTCTTTCTTTTCCAGTGTAAAGATAGTCACGGGCTTATCGGTGTAGGAGAAAGTTTTCAAGCGGCTCAGGCAGGTGCAGCTTATGAACTGCATATAGGCACGATCGACCCAGATGCTTTCTGATACACAATCGGCACAGCTGGGCAAGGCTGGCAGGGCCTGGAAGAAAAGAAAAAAAATAAAAGAGCAAGCGCCCTCAACCCCGGTATAAGTCAGAAGGTAACAAACAGCAGCAAGGTTTGAAAATCAAATTGAGAACTACACAACAACTTTCTGAAAGTTAAGGAGAGCAACATACATTGCTGACCTATTTTGTCAAAATTGATTCAGCGGCTTGAAACCTACGAACACTAAAAACATTTTTGTGCATGCACAGCTAGGCTTTTCTGAATCTTTTCTTGAGCAAATACCGAAAGTTCTATATAGAAGTATGTACTGGAGACATAGCTCTTGTGCAGGGTTTGGTCCTTCCTGAGCCCTGAGGGAAATGTTGCATCCTGTGACAATATCTTATTAGAAACTGGAGAGCCCACTGACAGGAAAGTTGTCCAGAGACTCATTTATCAGGTGCTTGCATGTCACTGCAGACCGTGGTGCTGTCCCCAGTGGGGTGAACCGGATGGAGCTCCCAGCCCCAGAGGAGATTCACCAAAGTCTGCTTTTACTATAGGAAAATGGAGGCACCTAAGCTGGTTGCTAATTCCCATCTGAGAATAAATTTATAGAAATCTGTAGGATTTGTAGAAAAGAGTACTTGAGCTACCATCACTGAAGTGAGAAAAGAAGCTATCACCTCCCAGAACAATTAGGAAAATGGAAACATTTTATATTTAACATCAAATAATAGTTAGGAAGAGGAACATTTAAAAGGAGACGTAAATAATAAGCATGGAAGAAAAGTCAGGGGGAATAAAGTAAACTCTTGAAGAGAATTCCCTAGGGTCCTTCTTTCAAACAGAAGGACGTCAGAAAACACAGATTAGGTGAGGGAGTTGTAGATGTTGGATACAGAAGAGTGTCTGCAAGTAAGACTGAAGGAGTGTATATCAGGTACAGAGAAAACTTCGCTTCTGAAAAGGGAAGAGCCAGCAGTAACTGAAGGACCCTGTGGCTCACCTGATTGTGAGGGAGGATAGGGGTACAACTTCAGAGTGAAAATCAAGCAGAGGTTCAGGAAGGGATGAGATTTTTAATATTGGCATATTTATTTATCTACAGAAGCTCTTAATTATACCAGGCAACTGAAGTGAAACACCTGCTTCTGCTCAGGCCTGAACACCTGAGACACAGGGACAGAAGTCACAAGAAGTGAGAAGCATTCAAGCAAAGGCCCCTCCAGAAGTTTTTAAACGTGACAATGATAGAACCTGAGAGAATGTCATGGAGCTTTGTCAGGGGAGGGGCAGCTGGGGGCTAAGGAAAGGTTCTTCACCAGAGGGCGGTGGGCATGGAACAGGACGCCCAGGGCATTGGGCATGGCTCCAAGTGCCAGAGGTCAAGGAATGTTTGGACAACGCTCTCACACATAAGGTTTGAATTTTGGGTGGTCCTGTGTGGAGCTGGGAGTTGGAATAGATGATCCTTTTGGGTCTCGTCCAACTCATATAATTCTACAACTTTTCTATGACATTCTGTGACAAATTAAAGTACCATGTGAAATGTGGTGAAAGAGAGAAGGACAGAAGAATCTTGAATCAATGTTTCACTTCCTCCATAAAACTCACCTGCATGCAGAGGCCAACACAAAGCTTATACACCCCATTGACATTAATTACCATTCAAGAGCTCTTAGGCTTTCTATGCACATTGCATTGCTCACCACTGGCAGGGAGTGAGCTGTGACCAGGAAGGCAGAAGCCTGGGGCACAGACCAGCTAGCAGGGCACAAGTGAGCTAGGAAACATGGAGATTAGAGGACAAGGGAATTAACAAAGCATGTCCCTTCTCCAGGGATGGAGATGCACAAAGTTTTGGTTACATGTGGCAGAGGTGAAAATGGCACAAGAAGTGTTAGATTTATTTCTGCTTAGAAGTGTATTTAATTAGATTGGGAAGATAACTAGAAATATCGGAGAGCCTGCATGTAAGCTGCAAAGGGCATTACTGGTTTCTGCTTGGATCACAGTCCCATAAACATGCATTTGTTTTGTTTGTTTGTTTTTGTTTTTTGTTTTTGTTGTTTTTTGTTTTTGTTTTTCCCAGGAAGAAGGTCATTGAGCCACAGTGGTTAACTGAACACAAGATACTAAAATAGCTGTGATAATATCTGTGAGTAAACTTTCATGGCAGTTTTCAATCCTTAGTCCTTAGCGTCTTGGTTTGTAAATAAGGATAAAGAATAATAATCTTCGATAAATGGAAAACAAAGGCACAGAATAACTAGCCAATTTGCTCATTAAAACTCTAATTTGGCAGCAGATCTGGCAAGAAAACAGAGATTGCTTGCTCATTTCCGTGTAGTGTGATACACGCTTGAAATCAAAAGAGAAATTATAGACAAGATTAAATCCCTTAAGAAAAAGGCTTTAGGTAAAAATTAATACTGTTCTACTTTGAAACGGCAAAGGAGAAAAGGCAAAGGGGAAAAGGCAAAAGAAACCTTTACCTTCACAAAGTAGAAGTGCCTGCTCCACTTTGCTGTTGGGTATGGCAAGGTCCAGGGCACATTTGAATTCAGCATTTCTGCATTTCAGGTTAGCACCATAGTCTGCCAGCAAGATGACTATCTCTGCACTGGATTTCCTTGCTGCTGCATGGAGAGGAGTGTCTAGTAGCTTCCCCGCATTGACATTGGCTCCTTGGGAGAAGAAGAGTGCAGGGTTGGTACAAGGAAAAAGCAAGAAATATCTGACCTGGCACTACATAAGTTGGGTATTCACTGGTAGCCTCAATAAATGAAGGGGATGAGTGGCACCCAGGCCTCTGTCACCGATCTGTGACATCGGTGCAAAATTCAGATCAAATATTCTCTGTATAAGTGTCTACTGATCACTGACTCCTCTCTACAACAGGCACAGCTGATCAACCATTGAAATTCTTAGACTGTCAACCCAATAGACGATCACAGAATCATAGAATGGCCTGGGTTGAAAAGGACCACAATGATCATCTAGTTTCAACCCCCCTGCAGGGTCACCAACCATTAGATCAGGCTGCCCAGAGCCACATCCAGCCTGGTCTTGAATGATTACTGATCAAAACCTATGACAAATTTGTTAGTATCAAACAATCTACGTTAGACTATGTTATTTTAATTAGAGGACACCCTTTAGGTGTCTGTAGTAACTTTGGAAGCGCAGCTAGCAAGATGCTTGCCCTGACATAGCCATGCACAGCACAGCCATACTTCCAGCAAGTGTCATCTGCAGAAATTTACACTATCTTATATATTGTGTCTGGGCCTACAGAGATTATTTTTTCAAGCATCTTTACTGCTATTTTCATCATTAGCTGAGAAGAAAATGAGGTTAATGCTTAGCATGGCAGTTTAATTTTTCATAATCAAAAGATTTGATTTTGGTCATCAATATTAGCTGATATTTTCTGTTTCCTGCCATTGTTTTAGAAAACTCTGGTTTACTTTCACATTCAAATGGTCTCAGGTAGATCTCTGTAATTAGAATTTTCCAGTAGGGAGATTCTAATTTCATAGAATCATACAGATTGGAGAAACACACTAAAATCATTAAGTCCAACTGTCAGCCCATCCTCACCATGCCCACTAACCATAACTCTCAGCACCATATCTATATGGTTCTTCAACATCTCCAGGGATGGTGACTCTACAACCTCCCTGGACATGTATGTATTCTTCATGAAGACAAGTGAAATTCTAATTATCTCACAGATTCAAGCTGTCCAAACATCTCTTGCAGAAATCCTTCAAAATGTTTATGACATAGGGGTAACTTGGACAGAACTGGGATGGCTTACACTATCCCAGCTCTCCCCCAGCTCCTTCTCTGGACGTACCAAGTTCCAACAGCTTCTTGACACAGTCTGTCCTCTGGTACATGCAAGCAACATACAGCAGGGTCCCATAATGCAGGTCTTCTTGGTCAATGTCAACCCCATGAGCCAGAAGAACTTCCATGCACTCTCGGTGTCCTGTGCAGCAAAAGAGAACTATCACTTAATTGTAGTGACACAGAGCAGAATACACCCAAGTACAATCAATGAGGCATAAGAGCTGGGAATAAGCCAAGCACATTTATCTGTGCTGTATACGTTTTCTGGGGGGGAAGTAAATGTTTTGAAGCCAATAAGAGATGCATTGCACACTTAGTTGCTGTTAGCTTCACTCATAGACTGTTACCTCTCTTGACTGCCTCATGAATGGGTGAAGCAAGGTGGTTCCCGACCTGTGGCTTGGCTCCAAATTCGAGCAGCATGTTTACACAAGCCACAGAGCCACTGCAGCAGGCATTAAAGAGAGGAGTGATTCCATCAATGGTGACTGCGTTGACCTGAAACAGCAGGACATGCTCAGAATAATCCAGCATAAGAGGAACGCCCTTGCAGCATGTGTCATGTGCTCAACTAAAGTACGCTAGAATGCTTGTCTTTAGTGTTAGAGTTGATTTGATTTGCAACTTTCAAAGTGTGAGACAACATATATAACATTCTCCTTTGAGCTCTGCTCTCTTTCCCAGGCACTTAGTGCCATAAGGCTGCATCATTGCTTGTTACGAGTGATCCTCCTAGGGTTGCTCAGAAAATGCAGATTATTTCTTTTTAATGCAGAGAACCTGAGTATTGCCATGCCTATTTTGTACCAGCCCCAGTCCATTACATGCTCAGACAACTCTGATATTTAAATGAAAATATAGTTCACATTTAATACATTAATCTGAAAACACATTTCCAGCAAAGGACATATTCACAGAAACACTGTCATAATCCCAAACAGAAACAGAGATCAAAAGGGTTTGTGTTTATGCACATGTGTGTGTGTAAAACAGAAAGCATTTCCTTTCTTGACCTCTAGCATAGATACCTGGCAAGAGCCATCATCTGTGGTTCTCCACTGGGAGAGCATAGTCCTGTGTTGTGCTGTGCTGCAGCAGCTGCAGGATCTGACTGCCTAGCAAGCACTCAGAGGCAATTTATGCAGCAAATCTGCATTCCTTTATTATTATTATTACTATTATTATTATTATGCAAGATGTTAAAGAACAATGGGTTCTGCAAGCATACAGCACTTTGTGTGGTTTCCAAATTAAGAAAAGGAAAGAGATGGGAGACAAAGGACTAGAGTTAGGCTCTGCCCCAAGCCTGTAGTGTCACCTGGGTTTGTTGTGGCTGAAGTGCACTTGGTCTTGTTGAACTTAGAAGCAAGCATCAAATTGGAATATTTTCTCCCAGAAGTTAATAAACATTTTGTTGGTTTTATTTCTGAACACAGAAGGAAGAAAAAAAAAAAGAAAAAAAAAAAAGAAGAAGAAGAAGAAGAAGAAAACCAAAAGACTTTATGTACCACGTACAGGTTGCTTTCATAGGTCAGCAACAGACAGCTCAGAGATGATTCTTTTAATTAAGAAAAGGTATTTGTATGACAAAATCAAGTAAAACTGAGCAGAAAGTGTTTCTTCTTCATCTTTCAATGAGACTGAAATTTGGTGTAAAGTATAGGAAGTTAATTAATGTATTTTCTTTTGCAACATAGCCTGATTTCCTGTTTTGGTGTTGCTCAGTTTCTTGCCATGTAAACAGTGCTTGAAAAGTGTGTAACCCAGCTGAATGAAACATATATATCATCCTATTTGGGTATCTCAGTTTTTAATGTGTATCCTACCTGAGATCCCGCTGGGGAAGTTATTTTAATAACGGATAAGCTGTCTCATTTATTTAAGCACATCTATTTTTACTTAGATGACACTCCCAAAATATTCCTCAGAAAACCAGAAGCAATTCTAATGATGATTATGGGGGAAAAACAAAACTAACAAAAAAAACCCAAAAACCATATATACTTTTCCCTAGGGTGATCGCCATTAGCCCAAGACTCACGTGTGCGCCGTTCTCCAGCAGCAGCTTTGCACAGGCCACATGGCCACCCAGACAGGCTTCGTGAAGAGCCGAGACTCGATCTGTTGTCACCAGGTTCACATTGAAACCCTGCAAGGTAGAGCGTGGAGCATGAGGACAGAGCCTGGCCCAGCTCTGTGGCAATCCTGGGGCACCAGCAGTGGTTGGGCCCTGGACAGAGAGCTAGGCAGGGGCTAGGGATGCATGTGGGTTCTGTTACTGCTCTCTGCTGCTTGTCCCCAGGCACTGTAACTGGTAGTGGTTATAGTTCAGAATTTGCTTGGACCCTTGGGCTCCATCAGTGGGGGGAAACAGGCACCCTTAGGACCTGATTTCGCTTATCTCAAAGTAGCTTTAGGTTACACCCACTGGCTATATTGAGTACCCAGTGTAATTCACAGAATCATACAATTGTAGAATGGTAAAATCATAGATTGGTTGGGTTGGAAGGGGTTTTACACTGGAAGAAAAGAATTGGAGTCACAATGCTTCATTATCAGCATTTCCCATAAATGACAATTCTTATATCTCTTCCCACAGAAACAGACACCAGGTTTATTCACAAGAAACCAAGAAGCTGCCATGTGTGCTATCCCCAAAATGCAGCTGAGGCTCCTCGTGAGATTTCACAGCCACACGTGAGAACAGGCCTTGAAACAGGCCTGAGTGTCTTCCCTAAGACCATTTCCCCTCTGCTCAGAGTGCTATAGACCTGGCGGCTCACGAGATGGCAGCAGTGCACTGTTTAGTATGCAGCTATACAAAGGCTTTCAGTAGACATTAATATGCAACATAACACTGTAAAAGTCACCAATCCTGCTGCAATAAGCATTATAAACAGCCACTGTAATTACTTTAAGATAGAAATTCAGTGATAGGAAAACAATCATTTTTCAGCAACGTGAAAGCATTATTCACACGAAGGCTGTAGCTAAAGTTTTCCTGTACATTACATCAGTGCACAAGAGCAGATAAAATCTTTTTTAAATGTTGAGACTATTCCATTTTATAATGATATAGATGTTTCATGTTTACTGATGAGTACACTCCTTCAAGAGAAATGTTTTCTAGAGGCTTCTGATAAGAAGAGAGCTATTCTTAGTCATTATTCAGATATAAATTTAACAAATTAAAAATAACTCCTTGCAAATGAATGAATAAGTACTGATATCTTGGATAAAACAGCAGTCCCCTCCATACTAAATGGAGACCAAGTTATCGATCTTACTATAGTTGTCTGCAAAATAATGCTGGCATTAAGCCTTGTTCTCATATGATTATACATTCCTACTAGTATATCTCAAAAACAAGATACTACTTTCAGTGCTGGACCAAGCCTTGCTGAGTCCTTGAGCTTTCTTAAAACTTCAGTGCTCCATCTCTTCACAGGCACAAACAGTTCCTAACGTTAATCCCCTGGAGAGCAGAAGCCCTTCTGACTATCTGAAGAGCTGTAATCCAAAGGTAGAGACTTTTGAGTATCCCATACATACTCTAAATTATAGCTCTCCATTTCATTTTAGGCTATTTGTATAGCTATAGAAGCAATGAGCAACATCTATGGTACTCCATGAAGAACTTTACCCTACCTAGTGACTCATCTCCATTTCAGTCTCCATAGACATTACTGCCTCTATCTCATTCCATCAGCAAGGACCTTCATTCTTCGCTCCTAAAATTAATGTCTTTGGGAACAGGACAAAGGGTAGATTAACTAAAAAATATACATACCGTAACACCCAGCGCTTCTCCTATGTATAACCATAACCAGTGAAGAACTGAGGCCTCCACTGTTAAACCACAACAGCAGGTGCCTGCCATGAACAGGATGGTGTAAAGACAGAACAGATGAAGATAGAGGGGATCTAGCACTTCTTATTCTATAAAATGGCTTTGCAGAGGGAACTAGATGAGTGAGAGCATTGGGAAATCAGCAACAGCTGAGGGAAATTACCCACTTTTGTCAGACTAGGGATCTGGGTTTGAAGAAAGGTGATAAGGAAAATGAATGGCAAAGCACAATTGTGACCTCTTTTACAGCTGTTTATATTCATACCATACTTCTTATCCTTTCTCATACGTTCTTTCCTCCTCTCTTTCTTTTGTCTGAACTTGTGGTTGCTGTTGGAACAGAGTTTGAGGCTGACAGATCTCCTTTTAGATATGTTATGATTATGCTTGTTGTTTTATAAAGCAATACATATTTTTAAAGATTTCTATTGTTGGTTTGTTGGTGTTGTTTTTTATTGTGTTTGGTTTTTTTTTTTCCTTCAAATGGATGATTTGTATTATTCCTGTTCTCCCCAAGCCCAGTTTGCACAATTTGTCATTGAAAAAAGAGCACAAGGGTCATTGTTTATCATACAGCAAGCTACAAGCAATAGCAGTCTTTGTCCTGGACTTGTCCTCAGCATCTTAACTAAGTAGCCAATCCATGTCCAAAGGCATGCATGGGGATATATTATTTATATGACTCTATTTCTTATGCCTGCTGCAGTCTGTTACCAGCTCACTGACTCAGATGCAATTCAGTAGAAACCATGCTGCTTCCTAACCCTGTCTTTCTTTACCTGCAGGCTTTTACCTGTGCAATCAAGGTTTTCAAAGACAGGAGGCGTCCTTGGAAGGCAGCATCGTGCAGAGGGGATCTGTCCGCCCAGCTGCCTGAAACAGCAAATTCATAGAAGTTAATTCAGGTATGCAACAGTATTTCCCCTGGGAGGATGGGGGAAGTGCAGTTGCGTGGAAATGCAAAATCGATGTAGTGTCAGCAGTGAAACTGTAGATAAATTGATTTCAGCAGAGCAGCTGAAGGCTCAGCACTCCGGAGAAGGTTGGCCACTCGGTAAGGTGCCTCAACACCAGCTTTGAAAAATAGCTAAGAACACACTTCAGCAAAGATCACAGGTTCAGTGCTGCTGGAGACTCATCCAAAGACTTCAGAGCCCTGCAGCACTCACAATGTAAAAGCTATCAGCTTCTGTCTGTTCTAGGGAGCTTTTGTCACAAGTCATGTTCCAGCTGCCCTTCACTTTATTAAGGGTTTCATAGCGGAGAGACACTGGGACACTCTGTCCATCAAATGAATTCTAGCGTGACTCTGTCTGCATTATTTCCCAAATTGACAATTTCACAAATGACTTCTCTAGCTCAGACAGGTAGGTAGCAAATTTCATCCTCCTCCTCACTGGAAGTTTTCAGAACAGACATGAAAAAAACAGATCCTGCCCGAGCTTTCATTTTCTTTCCTTAATCATTTTAAGCTGTTGAACTGTGCAGAATTCTTCTTGCAGGTTTCTTCTTTTCCTTACTCTAATCTATTTATGTGCCATGAAATAAGTCCTTAGTCTAGCTGCTACCTACACTTATAGCCAGCGCAGATGGAGTGCATTTAACCTGCCAGAGGATGGAAGAAATACCAGTTGTTTGCATTTGTGCTCTATTGTACAATAGCCCCACAAGCACAGTGCTTGAAATCCACATCCCAATAATTTTTTTTCACTACACAGCACAACAGGGAGAAAGGAAAAGGTGATATATCTCCATTCTGGGTGTTACTTGAGGCAAAGAAATCTCAATGAGAGTCATGTGAACGTCCCTGGGGATTTCAGGCCAAGGACACAGCAGAGGTTTCAGCTTTGGCCAAGGAAGCCCTCATCATGAGCCTTCCCCAAAATGCCAATGAAGCCCAACCATCCTAAGGGCACTCAATGGGCCATTATGATTGTACACCAGAGACTACCCACAGAGTTGCAGGAGGAAGAGAGGAGGTCGACCTAAAAGGCCTATATCACCCTCTGGTTTAAAACCAGCATTGCTTTAAGGGGTTTCCAGCAACTCTTAGCATTCTTGCAGTGTGTTTTCATTACCTTAGTACTTCACCTTGTGGTGGTGTTACAGGTTTAAATAGTGCTTTCTCTTTTCTCTCCATTTACTTAAAGAGCTGCCCCTGGACTCCAGCAGCAGGAGGATGGTGTAGAAGGACAGCCAGCATAGTGTGCAGTCGGGCTCCTGAGGGCCAAGTAGGACTCGCTAAGCAAAGTGATGGAAACAGGTAGGGATGGAGAAAGATTTGCATGAAAACATCCAGAAAATCCCAGCTCCCACCTCATGCTGATGACTGAAATAGGCAAGCTCAGTTCAGAAAGTTAGAAGACTGATGACAAAAAGTAGGGGTCTCATCCACCAGGAGAGTTCAGAGGTAATAGCTTCATTGCCTTATTAAAACTCCTATGCATATTGTAGAGCATGTGTAAGCACTTTTCACATGCATTGTAAAGGCATGTGTATGCACACACATGCTTCATGAGAACACATGCTGTTGCATACTTCCATGCTAGCCACAGCAACCTACCTCCCTGAAATGTGTGGCAAATATAGTTCCCATACAGAGCACTTCTTCCCTCCATGGCTGTAAGTGACATGTTGGAAATCACTGTCTTCTCTAAGTCAAGGCTAACTTATCTTTAAGTTAAGTTAAGGAACACTTCTGTTGCACTACACTGCAAAGAGAAGACGCTTTGAAACTCTGCCTGTAACCCAATCCTGTGCCCCAGCAACAGTGTCACGTGGTCCTATATTTTGAAAGATTATCCTTAATGGCTTTTGCAAATGGCAACTTGCAGATAAAAACATGTTGTAGTCTGCTCGATTTCAAGACACTTTGCTAAGAACCTGTACAAAGAAAAACCTGGTGTTTGTCACCCATCTGACTGCAACTGCATGAATGCACCAGGAAAAAAAAAGTGGCAGCAATAAATAATTGGACTTACTTATATTCTAGAGAACAACGCGTAAGTTAATAATCCAGAGACAAACATTCCTGTGTATAAATGCTCTGTAAGAAATGTTTTGCTGCCATATTTCTCTTGGACAGTGCTGCTTTGGGTGACCATCTTGCACCACAGACAGTCCCACTCACTTTCCTGTACCTGTTCATGGCAGCTCAGTTCATCAGGAAGCAAGTGTCCAAAACTGAGTCACATAAAGGCCTGAAATGTCACAATGCTGAAAGAAATCTTCAGGCTGGAAAATATGCTTTCGTTAGTAGTAAATTTAAAATACTGTGTCATTTTAATCAGGTGTTTGCACTTCCAGTAAATTCACTATCTATACATTATTTTATATAGACACATGCAATGGAGGTAAAACCACCTGGGAAAAAAAAGAACCTGCACCATATAATTTTCAGAACCATTTCAGATTTATTCATTTTTATGGCCTGACTTGTTGACATAGATTCACAAAATAATTAGTTATAACCTCCTAGAGCTTTCTTTCAGGAAATCAACACAAAACTTTTCCCTAAATATTCTGTCGGTAAACATAGCAAAGCCATCTGTAACCCCAAACCAAAGAATGCCATGCTTCCTAGAACAATCTTTTCATCTACTGTAGTGCCTTGAGCAAATGTCGTCCTCATTCGAGCTGGGTAGCTGTTGGAGTCTCAAATTTTGCACACCTACCACATGCCAACACATACCAACACCGCAAAGACCTCAGAAGTGAAAGGCATGTCAGGTTAAAACATTCACCCTATGCACTTAGCAACAAACTCGTCGTTTTATGGAAACTCAATGATTTAAATCCCAAAGTTATAAATATGTAGCAAATAGACGTCTGTCTGTTAAGAATGTCTATGTTTTTACTTTACCTGGGACTATTCCATAGATCTCTTCTGCTATCCTGGCAGCCTCTTTTCTGTTGCCTTTAACAATATAGAAATGAGTCAGCAGAGCCAAGGAAATCTTAATTAAAAGTTTGAAGCAAAACAAAGCAAAAATGGCAAAATAAATGTTAGTGAAAGCCTGGAGTATAGAACTGCCCTCCATTTTGCTTTGAATAGTTTCTCAGGTCTGCTAAGTTGCACCGGGCTATTATTGGTATCAAATGTCATCTATTTTAAACCCTCCAGAACTTGCTGTTCCTCCCTTACCAAAAATACATTGGTTTTCATTTGGTGCAGCTATTTGATACTAAGTAACAATACCAAGTATAAAATAGTCTGAAAATCCCACAACATACAGGAAACAAATGGAAAAAATCTTTTCCAAACCCACGCGGATATTAGAAGACTTTTCAGAGAGAAGCTCTCCATACCACTGAAAGCCTACACATCCACATTATATTTATCCTTTGACTTAAGAGTTGGATTAATAAAGGCTGCATAGGCAAAGTTGCAGAAGTAGTACAGAGATACTGCAAGAATACTGCTCTTTTTAAAAGGATGACCACAAAACTGACATTAGGTTGCAAAGATGTGTTATCTGCCTTCACAGTCAACTGGGTAGATAAGAGGTAAACTTGTATGAGTCTGCAACCTGCAGAAAAATACAAGAAACTGGAGATCAGATAATTTCTGCTGAAGTTCTCCTAACCCTAAAGGAGTACGAAATCCTAGTAACAATGAAAAGCTCTCTAGGTGGTCTAAAACAACATGAACACAATAAAAATGACTATCCCAGAAAGACAAGCTTCATTTGTATAGCAGCAAATTCATCTTCCTGGCTTCAGAGCAGCACAACTTAAAGACTTGAGTTTAATGATGGAGTCATTTGAGAAAAACTCATGTAATCTCTTGCATATAGGAACACTATTGGATTGAATTCAAAAAGTCATCAGTAAGAAGGCAGAACAGTGCAGTGGGAAGTAGTGATGCAGATGAAGGTGGTGGTCAGATAAGCAATAGCAAGATCTGGCGTGATCACTCAGAAATATTTGGAATTTCTAAAACTAAAGGAAGGTGAGCAACAAAAGATAGGAATTGCAAGAGATGTTACACAAAGATAGAGCAACCACAGTACAGAAACAGGAAGTGTACCTCCCTTGCTGCTTTGGGCAGTGTCACTGTGTTGTGTTTTGAATGGGATGGATTGTGCAACTTACCGGTAGGTTGCAGGACTGAACACATCAGCACTTGGTAGAAAAAACATGCCTCATTGAGAACTTCAGCACAATGCCTAACACACAATAGTCTTCTGTTTGAGTGATTACCAAACTGACAAATCAAAATATCCAGAAGATATGTTAGTCCTTCAGTATAACTGTCATGATGTGGTGAGTGAATAGTTTAGCTAGATCCCTTGAAAAACTGGAAATTAATTTTTATGTATCTTTAATGTAAAAGCCTGCAAGGAAAGAGCACAAAAGAAAAAAACAGACTGATTTAGGAAAACAAAACAAAACATTTTCATTACAGGTCACCTTAACTTCAGCTGTAAGAAAAATGTCAAATATGGCCTTGAGAATTTGGCAAGGAAATAAAAATTAGAGAGGAACCTCCTCTCGAAAAAATTAAAAGAGGAGTTAAATCTATTCTTATGCTTGACAGTCTTTGAATTACAGCAGTGTATTTCTAAAGTATTTAATTGAGAGTTTGAGTAACATTTTCAATTAAAAAAGATAATTGGAAAAAAAAGACACAAATACATTATCTCTAAGGGAACCAGAACAAGAATACAAGAATGGTAGAGAACCTAGCTATTTTTCTATCAGTTTGATCTAGTAAATGATATTACTTTCCATGCAACCATCGCCTTATTTGCATCCTTAGATAGCACAGTTATAACACTCCAGCTTTTAGAAAGGGTTGTGTGTAGTGACTCACTGTTTGTTCTCATCAAGCAGATGAAGGATTCATCTCACCTACCCATAGCCCATTGCACCACATATATTCTGGTTATCTAAACCTCTACTGTCTGGGCAAGATGACAAGGAATTCCAGCTGGTAATTAATATCTTATCTGCCTCCAACACCTATGGTAGCACAGGATGACTCACCCCGTAGATGCATTCCACCAGTCACTCCTGATTAAACAAGCTTAAATAACAATACGTACTAGACAATCAGTTTATACATGGTAATATTCAATAAATCCCACACAAACATCACCACCAGACTTAAGCTGGTGCTGAAAAAAGTCACAAGAAAAATGTGTAATTTCAGTACGAAGATAGGTTCAGGTGTAAAACAGCATCTTGATCTCAGCTTTATTCTTCAACAAAAAATATATCCCTTTCATCCAAGTGAATACGTCAGTGAGAGAATAATTAGAAAAACTATAGAAGTCAGTGTACTTCTGGGTGTCATGAAAAATACAGAGCAAATATGACAAAGAGTAGTGTAATGATAGCAAGTCAAGCGATATATCAAAAGTATTTAAAATTGATCTTTAAAAAAACGTTTGTGAAAAACTTTCAGAATGGGTTGTTCTCATGTTTGTTTACAGTGAGTTTGTTATGTAACTGAAATTTTACAATTAATGAGCCTAAGTACATATGAATAAAAGGACTGGCAAAACAACATGCATATCAAAAGGAGAAAAAATAAGTTTATTTGTTAAAGATGAAGAAAAGCTTGATCACAAAAAATAAGTTCATTACAGTGCAGCCAGCTTCTTACAGATCTATCCATATCCTCTAAAACACAGTCTAAAAGGTGAATCTTACACTTCACTTGATACTTGCTCTGGTTTAACACACAATTTTCAACTACCAACATGCAGTATATACTTCACAGTGTCTGCAAATAGTGTACTGGAAACACAACTTCTCCTTGTATCCATGTGATAGAATTTTAATATGGATCAATGCAAAATTTTCATCGCTAAAATAAAGTAGTTCAAAGCACTTCTGGGTGTGCTTAGTAGTCCCTTCTATGAAGGGGGGCAATTAAGCTTCTATATAGAAGGGCTTGGTGCATTCCCTCCTCCTCCACACAGGAGGCTTTGCTCTATGCAAGATGTTACTCAGTATTACTCCCTGGTTGGTAACATTTTCTTAGTATTTCACAATACTCAAATGTTACCCACCACTATAACATTTCAGTTTTATTAAATTGTATTTTTGGAATACGCATTTGGAAATGAATAAAATAACATCTCTGCTCAACTTCTCATTATTGTGATCACTTTGAATAAAGTTTTCCATTTCACTCACTGCTGCTTTACAAGACTGTAAATGGTTGAGTGATGGTGACATCACCCCTTGCTCTACTGCACAAGATAGGTAAGTGAATCAAAGAGTTACGTGCATTGGGAAACAGCCTAGTAAAACCAGTTATGGCTTAAATATTTTTGCTTGTGCAAAGTGTTTTTCAGTCATCACTGTAAGTCCAACCACAAATGATGGCAAACAGCAGTACGCAGTATATTTCTATACTTTCTAATTTCTAATCCACATACTAATGAAAAATACCCATTCTTTATTGAAAATGAAATAAACATTTAGATGAACTGTTTTATTATAAGTACACAGTGTTCCACAAAAGAAAAAGTAGAATTATTTTGAATAGATTCTCATAATCCTACTGAAAATCACATCTGCTTTTGTAGCTGTTGTGGGAAACAAAAAGAAATAAACCAGAATCAATAAAATATTATTAAAAAAATAGCATAACATCTTCCTGGAATGATAATCAGTATTTTTAAAGAGTTGCTGTAAACTAGAATGTTGTTATTTGAAAAAGTAACTAACTTTTATAAGTAAAACATTACCTTATCTCCACCCATTTACCATAACATGTGGCACCATTTTAGCTGAACTCCACTGTTAATGTAGAGTTTGAAAGATTCAAGTTGTAAGACAATGCATATTTTACATTATGTATCAAAAGCTAAAAAATTCTATTAAAAGGAAATACTTTGTAAGTAGCATGTATTTCACATCATATTTCCAAGTTTCGTGAATACATGGTCAATAAAATTATCAAATGTTTCTGTAGCAATAGTGTACCCTAACTGACAAGATGACACTGACAAAAGCTGTGTTTCAAATACTACCCTTCAAGGGTTTGAAAACAGTATTTTTTATATTGCACAATTTTAACACTAATAGAGTGTCCAACACTACATAATACTGAGGGTCAAAAAAAATCATCATTTTTTCAGTTGAAAAAGAAATCAGGCTGGTGCATTAGGCAGGGGGTAGTTTGATGGTTGTCTGCCATCAGTGAGAGGTTTGCCTCCTCTCACATCTGCATGTTCTGCTATTCATATTAAAAATTACTTATAACTAACAGGTGCAAGGAACTTTTTTTTTTCTTCTTCTTCTTCAAGAAAAGCTTATCTATTGGTTACTCCCATTGAAGGGATGCCTTCTCTAGATTTAACTTGCAGAACCTGTCTGACAGTGCTTCTGGTGTGGTCTCAGTGAAATCACATATACTAACACTGTCCCTCCCAGAGATGGACTGTAATGCCATTTACATAAAAAGCAGAAGAATGTCAAGTGGAAAATAATAATAAATAAGAGCATTGTTAAGGCTTGTTAAGCTCTCACAGATGTATTTCTCTTGTTCACACACATACACACACAGGTGCGTACGGACATTAATTTATGCTTTGGCATAGTCTGCTGGAGGTGTTTTCAGGCCTGACCTGGTTCTAAAGGCTATACTATATTATGTTAATTGCTAAACAATATCATTCCTTCACCTTCATATTTTTTAAAAAACCACCTATGTATTTTAAGGAAAAAATAATAAAAAAAAAAAGGCATAAGCTTTGCCTCTCTTTCTTATGTGTAAGTTAGGAGGACAAATTCAGCCATTCTGAAAATATCAAGAACTCATTATGGAGTTTTAACAACAGGATAATCTAATTTTCTAATTTCATGAAGGACTTCAAAATTATAAGACTGGGCAGGCAAAACACTATCACTGGGACACAACTGATAGAACTAAGTCTCTGAAATTTCTATGGTAATAATGAATTCAAAGCAATAAGGAATTCAAGAGTAATAACAAATTTAGGAGTATTTTCAAGTGTCATTTTCATCTTAGGAAAGAAAAGGTATGTTTTGTTTAGATAGGTCTCAAAAATCACAGTAATTATAAGGAATTCATAGAGATTACAGTAAACTAATAATTTTTCTGTTCTGCTTTTCAAAATACCAC